CGTCCGGTTTTGCCGGTTGGCTGCACCGTGCACGGTCTTTTTTCCGGTTAGCCGCACCATGTACGACCTTTTTCCCGGTTGGCAAGCACCGTGAACAGCCGGTTTTGTCGGTAGGCCGCACAAAGCTGCAGACGAGTTGAGCGGCTCGCGAGCGCTCGAGTCAAAGCTCGACTCGAGCTCGAGTTTGACCAAACTCGAGTTGAGCTCGAGCCCATATTTTGCATTGTCGAGCGGCTCGAAATATATGTTAAATTACTAAAATACCCTTTACATACATTTAAATAATATAACACATGTGCTTAATGGTAATTTTATTTATTCACTTAATTTTTCGAGCTGAGCTCGAGCATTTTGATTTCGAGTCGAGCTCAACCCGAGCTCGAGCTATTGTATTTTCTTATCGAGTCAAGCTCGAGCAGCTAAAAAAAAAAAAATCAATCCNTATATTTTTTTATAATCAAATATTTATTTATTATATAAATTATATTAGAATTTAGATATTATGTTATAACGAGAGTGAGGTACAACAAGGCTCGATTACATTGAGCCGCCCTTCTCACGGAGCCGTACGTGGACGTTACAGCCTGTGAGCTAGTTTGAGACAATTAGCCAGTGCCTGTGGTTGAAGTCTAAGGTACAAAAACCTGCTTTCTCAGGTTCAAACCATTCCGCACATAAGAAGATAGACAACCAGCCAGACGACAGTCATGTATCGATCGAACCAACAATTTATTATCTTATAGAATGTTATTATTATTATGTTATAATTTAGAAATTATTATATTATTTAACATAATACTAATTATCTCTAACAAAATACTAATGAGTGATGTTATTAAAAATTGTAGTCCCCTTTTTTTCTTAAATAAGCTCCTTTTCAACTCGGTAATAAATTTTAAAATATAAAATAATATTCTTACTTAAAATTGAAATTCATAAATACCAGTTTAAATAATAAATTGAACGGAAAAAGTCGGATTCTGTTAGAGCAATTCATTGATACCTATTAATTCAGTATGATTAGACCGAATTTTATGACAAAATTGTTTGACACTTTTCTCAGAGTTACATGATTCGTGTGAATATTATAGTACAAAAAGCATTCAAGTTCATGTTTAGTTTAAGTATTAATTAAAATGTCTTGCCGTTGACTTTCATTCTCTAATGGATTTGTATTTAATCGAATCAATTTTATCACGCTTGGGATTGTGATGTCAGTGCCATAGCTAAATTTAATTTCAGTGCAACAATTAAACCATTAAAAGTTGTGTCACTTGGCCGAATGCGAGAATGCGAGAGTATTGATCCTGATTTGGCGACAGGTTTTGCAAATACGTTGGCCCTAATCAAGGCGGATTGTGACAGGGCGCAACACTGATGTAATGAATGTTATTTTATTTTATTTTTTTATTTTACTGTACGGTCGATGTTTGGTTGAATTATTATTAATTTTATTTTATTTGTCGTTAATTCATTTTATTTTTATCCATTTCCAAATGTTATGCTACATTATAACTAAAAAATTCCATAACAATCAACGTATACGTACTCGGTCTCAAGTCAAACACAAACATAAGTTGAAATTTAACGTATAAACACGGCCGAATATCATAATATATCAATATCTAGGTCCATTACGAATATTACGCCACGACTGTACCCTGTTCTGGTAGTAATCCTCCCAACCTTCAACCGTCACATTTCGAATTTCTCCCAAAAATAACAAATAGGCGGTAATGGAAAATTAGGAGACAGATTAAGACGAATGTAGTATTCGTATACACCAAGATGACAGATGACAATCTCGCGTTTACGTCGTGTAGCCGTGGATGGTGCGTGGAGCAGCAATACTGTCCTATAATTGTCGATATCGGTACCTGTAGGACGACAACCTAACAAAACGATAACTCCATTAAGCAGTGTAGCAATATGAAAGAGGTCGACTATAACTTCCATCAGTGCTCCTGCCCACAAGCTCCCCCGTCCCATCTTATTCGATCGAGTGCGGCGTCGATCCCATTGAAATAGAAATGAGCGTACAACTGTCTGTAGCGTTGTCTACTTGGTTTTTCTTCTGAATTGCAACCAAAATTACTGCCGGTTTTGCCTGAGCAACAGTCATATCACAGACAATCTCTTTAGATGAAGCGCTAAGTCCGCTCATCTATTGATGACCCTTGGCATACACAGTCATTGCATGATTATGCGTTCTCTTCTTCTCCTCAGAAAGAACACAGATACTCCATTTTGTGGATTCTGCCTCCAATTTGACTTTTATCTCAAAAGGGCAATTGGTCACTTTAGTTTTCGAACGTCTCACAACACCCTTAGCTAAATCTCCTATATTGCCTCTGTAACGTTCTCCTCGGTGCACCTCAAAACCCTCTGTTTTTCTTATTTTTTGTGTTTCGAGATGATCAATTCGAAACCACATATAATTGTAATTTTTTTTGCCTGCTCGATAGCTTCTTCTCAACTATCAAATAGTCATCTGTAGTAAGATAAGGTCTGTAATCACAACCGTCTCCTCCAAAATTTTCGACTGGCACCTGCAATATATTACGATGTATGTTAATAATTTTACAAGATAATCAATTATAACTTATAACATAATAATAGTAAATTGTAATTTACTATTATAATCAATTTCAACTTATAACATCATAAAAGTCATAATAATAATAATAATAATAATAATAATAATAATAATAATAATAATAAATTCTAATTTATAAGATAATCAATTCTAATTTATAACATAATAATTTGTAATTTCTAATATAATAATAATAAATTCTAATTTATAACATAAAAATTCAAGTTCTAACATAATAATAATAAATTCGTATTTATAAGATAATAAATTCTAATTTATAACATAATAATTTCTATGTTCTAACATAGTAATAATAAATTCTAATTTATAACAGAATCAATTCTAATTTATAACATAAATATTTCTACTTTATAATTTGTTTAATAAATAAAAATTAACTAAAAAAAACGTCCGGCTGGCGAAAGCTGTGCGCAGTCGTGGTCGAACGGCGAGGCCGGCCGAGCATGGTCATGGTTGGCTGCATATTGCGGCCGCCAATGGTCATGGTCGGTCTCTCCTGCCGGCCGCCACCGCGAGGGGCTGCAATCGCCGGTAGGCCGACGCGGTCCGGTCGGTTTCGGCCGGCCGAAAAAAAATATCGTAGCTCGTCATTGGACATATTTTCGCCTTAAATCACCTAGTTTCAGAGAATTTATGAGTTTTTTATTTTTTTATTTTTAAAAAATGTCAGGAGCACAACGGTCCATAGGAGTACGTAGTATTAGGGGGGAAATTCTATTTGAAGACCCAACTTTTTGTAATTGTATCAATTTAAGGCATGAATTTTATTCTTCCTCAATATAAGATCACATTTTAGATTATTGTCAATTTAAGGCCTACTTTTTTAGTTAACTTTTCATTATAAGACCCAACCAACTTTACTTTTTGACATAAATATGTGAACCAACTATTAATTGAATAGAAATATTATTATTATTTTTTCTTGTAATTTATATTTTACATAATTATAATAAAAAAATAATAAATATTTTTAGTAAAAATTATTTAATAAAAAATGAAACTATATAAATTATATTTATGCAAAAGTTTAATAATGATTATCTTAAAAATTTGATAAGTTGAATTTGAAAAATATGTATTGGAAATATTATTTTTATTAATAAACTAAATATGTACCATGGTATCAACTTTTTCATCTAAAAAGAAAATTTAAATCCAAAATCTAAAATGAAGGCAACATTATTCAAATACTATTTTTTATTTTATTACATATTTATATTATTAATAGAAAAATATTTTAATTGCATATTTTTAGAACTATCAAATTTTAAAAATAATCATTATTAAACTTTTGCATAATTATAATTTATATAGTTTCATTTTCTTATTGATGTAATTTTACTAAAGGTATTATTATTATTTTTATTATAAAATATGTAAAACGTAAATTACAAGAAAAAATAATAATAACATTTTTGTTCACATAATAGTTGGTTCACATATTTATGTCAAAAAATAAAATTAGTTAAATCTTATAATAAAAAGTTAACTAAAAAATAGGATTTAAACTGAGAATAATCTAAAATATAAGTCTTATATTGAGGAAGAATAAAATTCAGGTCTTAAATTAATATAATTACAAAAAATTGGATCTTGTAATCAAATTTTCCGAAGGAAAATGTTTAGTAACGTCCTAATTTANAGTGCTTTCTAGAAAGTACGAGAAGAGTAGAAGCCGTTCGTGGTGTTTATTTTGCAATTCGAGGTCCCGAGCATTTATTTTGAGAAGCTCGAGTTGGAGTGCACAAATTAGAAAAATAAATAAAAAGCCGTTTACGTCCGCCCCGCAAGGTCGCGTGAGATTTCGGTTTGCTGAAAAACTAGTTGGGACGTGCAGACCTTATTGGCACGATGCCATTCGAGCCATTTATTGAGTGTTTCGGAGCTCCGAGCATTTGTTTAGAGGAACCTGAAGTTGATGTATAAATATTAAAAATAAGCGAATTGTCGAGGACGAGTTCGATCGTTCGAGGCTTCATTTTTCTCGATTCTTTCAGTTTCTCGTCTATTCGAGAGGAGGTATAAATCTGGACTATCCTTTTTAATTAATTTCGAGCATAGTTTGAAGGTAAAAATCGGCCATCCCTTTATTCGGATTCTAGTTTCGCCACTGCTCACATGGAGTGGGTCCACTTGATTTTTTATTTTTAGTAGGACCCACTTATTGTGAGTATTATGTACACCTTCATGTACACTATTATGTACTTATAGCATTACCCTTAAAATAATATCAATTAATCATTCTTACATATTACATCAACTTTAATTCACTATTCATCCATTCACATAATTTTAACTAACCATCATCTCCAATCATTTTTCTCATACTTTACATCAAGTCATCAACTCAAATTTAATTATTTTATTTTAAAATTTATTTTAATTAAAACTTAAATTCCCACTAACAAAAAATCATACCTCCTTTTCAAAATTAACTATCACTAACAACAAAACCAATCACACCCTTAATCACCGAAAACTTCCACTAATCCTTTGAAATTGCCGTTAAGCCCCTCAAGACGCATTATAATTTTGAAAGATCAACCGTGCACACAAGTAATTTGGTGCACAGAGGCAGCTCTGTAATTAACCACGAAAACGATAAAAATGGTGAAATTTTTCAATCAACCACACGCACTCACACACACAAATAAAAATAAAATAAAATAGAAATCAAAACAAAACAAAACAGACAGACACATAACTAAAGTCGGCAAGCTAGGAGCAGAAAAAAGCAGAAACTTCGAATCACGAACAAGCTGAAGAAATCGTGCTTAATCGAAAATGACGCGTTTTTATGTGACGACGTACGATGACCGACGTTTGCGCCGCCGTAGGATCCTTTTCCGCCCTGTGCGTTTTTTGTCGGTGTAATAATCTCCGACTCCGTCAGCTTTCTCCGGCCATAAGAATCCGTGGGCAAATTCAAATTTTCTCCGGTTAGGGTTCCTGCAGAAACATAGAAAATTTTATAGTTTGAGAAGCTCAGACATGATTTTGAAGAAATTGATGATATATATAATTGGTTTCTGACCGGGGTGAATTGGGAGCTCGTTCTGGGTAGTGGAGAGTTGTTTTTCCCTGTTTATGTCGGAATTTTCGTGTCCGAAACTAGTTGAAAGGAAATTGAGGAGACACAAAAGGACCGTGAGCCAAGCAAACAAATTCACTTTCATTTTTTCCTTTTTTCCTTTTTTCTTTTTTGGTGGTAATGCGAGAATGAAAGTCTGAAGAGTGTTAAATAGCCGCGGGTTTTGCAACTTATATGGCCAATGAAAAGATATTTGATTTTAAAATCATATTTTACTTTCTGTTTTAGTTTGTTTGATGATGGAAGTGGCAAGAGTATGATTGTGTCGTGTAAAACGAAATCTTTTATTATTATTATTATTATTATTATTATTATTAATGCTATTGAACCTCCATAGCTAATTATAAATAATGATAATAATTCGTTGGTGTTTTTAACAGTAGATACACATGTATAATTATAAATAATGATAATAATTCGTTGGTGTTTTTAACAGTAGATACACATGTAGATTTGTGATGTGTAAATAATATAGCTGAAAACCTGTACTGGAAATGTAGCCTTCCCCACAATTATTAGCTTACATTATTTGAAATAGTGGAGTGGTTTAAAATAACCAAATGCATCATTTTCTTCCCTTTCCTTATTCAAGTTTTTCCCCCTTGTTTTGTGGGACCTTTCAATAAATATGACTAAAAGCAAGGATCTTCCACGTAACATATTATTATGCTTCAATAATAGCTTCATGAAAGATGTATATATATATGCTTCAAAACCTTCCAAGGAATGGACTTTCTTCCAGAGTTTGTTTGTCATATTCGGTTTTTTGTGGGGCGAACCTGCAAATTTTTAATCTCTTGTGGCTGGAAAAAGCTGGGGAAAACTGGGCAAAAGACGTGGCCAAAGATAAGATTTTTATCGAAGGGAGCCATTCGTTTTTGCCATTTGTGTTTTTAGTACCCACAAAGATCGTTAAAGTCATAATCTTGAGGATTGATTCACGTGAAAGAAAAAGGTGAAAGACACAAGAAAGGAACAAATAATGCTCTAGTGCCCTGACCCATTTACCTTAAACTGCTAGCTGTTGTCTTGTTGATAATACAGCATATGATTCTGCAATCAATTTTCACAATTTTCACGTTCATGCGATGTATGAAGAAACAATATTAAAATATACAGTTAAGAGTAGGGACTAATCCAGAAATTAAGAGTAGACTGTTAGAATTTTAAAAACTAATTTTCACAAAAATCACATAATATTTTTTTTTAAATATTCACTGAAGTTGTGCTCGACGAGCTTCTAAAAGAAATTCATTATGCTCATTTTGCACCGTATGTGATGTTCTTTCACTAGTTTGACGTTGATCTCGTTTCTAAAGAACATTGGTTTTCCTATATTGGCCGAAGGTTGGTACTCCATATGAATTTATAAAAATGATATAATAATTAGCAAACTGAAATGCCTACACATCATAAATTATATCCAACTATGATATACAACAACCACACTAGAAGATAAGAGATTAAAAAAAAGCACACACAAACACACAATTACTACTTTATACACAATCAACAAAACAAGAATTGCAACCAAATGATCCTAGCAATTACTATTAATACCCTAAATAGCTGAACTAAAATGAGAAGATAGATACAATCAATTAGACAAATGAAATAAATATCTGATAGGGGGTTTAAAAATATAACTTTCTATTAAAGAATAAATTAAATCGTCTTCATGAAAGTATCCTATTTCTTGTTGATATATATATATTTTTTTTCTAAATTCATTGTTCGAGGTGTTCAGAGGAGGGGCATGGTCGTGGTTGCGGGTTAATCTCTTGTGGAAAAGATTGATCAACAATATGTATTATTTTATTAGAATGGTGTTACTAGTCTTTAGACTTAATATATAAATGAATTATTTTGTTGGGTTAGTAAGTTGGTTTATTGGGTTGGACTAAAAATACAATATTTTTCTTGTTCAAACTACTAATTATAAGAAAAAAATAATAATAATAGGCATGGACTTCACCCCAGCCCCAACCTATACTATATATATATATATATATATATATATATATATAGTATAGGAGATGGATCCAATGAGTACGTGAGACTCAATCTTAGCCACTCATTTTGTCTAGTTCAAAATTAATTAAAATATACATTAATTAAATAATAAAATAACTATTAGTTGACTCCGGCGTTGACCGTTGACTTCCGGCGTTGACCCGTTGCATTGAAATAAATAACCTAGCTACAAAAGACACTCAACCTTGAGTGGTGTAGTGGTTGCATTGCTTGTCTTGCTTCCATGAGGTACCAGGTTTAAATCCTAAAAAAATACAACTAACTTAGCAGTATCAGACAACTAACCTAGCAACAAAACACAACTAACTTAGCAGCATCAGACAACTAACCTAACAACAAAACACAACTAACCTAGCAACAGAAAGAACAACTAAACTACAACTAACCTAGCAACAAAACACAACTAACCTAACTTAGCAGCATCAGACACTAACCTAGCAACAAAACACAACTAACCTAGCAGCAGAAAGAACAACTAAACTAGCAACAAAACACAACTAACTTAGCAGCATCAGACAACTAACCTAGCAACAAAACACAGACAACTAACCTAGCAACAAAAGACAACTAACCTAGCAGCAAGAAAGAACTAACCTAGCAACAAAAGACAACTAACCTAGCAGCAAGAAAGAACTAACCTAGCAACAAAAGACAACTAACCTAGCAGCAAGAAAAAAATAACCTAGCAACTTAAGACAACTAATCTAGCAACAAAACTCAACTAACCTAGCAACAACAAACAACTAACCTAGCAAGAAAGAAATAACATAACAAAAGACAAATGGTCAACGGTCAACATCAGAAGTCAACGCCGGAAGTCAACGATTTTCGCCGAAAGTCAACGGTCAACGCCGGAGTCAACGGTCAATGGTCATAATAATATTTAAATAATTAAAAATAAAAAATTAAATAATAAAAATAAAGAATTATTATTTAAATCAAGATCTAAATTTTGTGGCTAGGAATGAGTCTCACGTCCTCACTTTAAATAATGGAATGCATTGGAACCAATCCCTATATATATATATAGGGTTGGGTTCAAGTGAGAAATGTGTTTAATGAAAGAAATGAGAATAAATTTTAGCCATCATATAGGAAGATCCAACGGTCACAAAAATTTCAGCAATTATATGTTCATTAAGGGTATATTAGACATTTTATTATCAACCATGAGACCATACCAATTACTCACTCACACACATCCAATAAATTAGTGCCATGTTGCCACTACCATCACACCACCCCATCCCCATCTGTCAACTCTCTCTCTCTCTCTCTCACACACACACACATACACACACACACACACACGGGCACACACAAACACACACACATAACCCTCGACTCACTCACACACTCACAGGCCGGTACCACCCTCCTTGACTCTGTCGGAAATCGCCCGACCGAAGGCTCAGGCATCGGCTCACCTCCGCCATATCCAGTCGACGTGGCCGAGCTCCATGTAAACTTCTGCCGTCACACCGCCTCTGCCGCACGCTGGTGCTGTGGATATCCCCCTCGGCGGACAGCTTCTTCCACGGCTACCTCTTCGCCCACCTCCCACTTATCCACCAACTCCACTGCCGGCCTCACCCTTCCCTCCACCGTACCGGAAAATCGAGCTTCATGCTCGAACCTCGAGCCATTAATGGCGAATCTAAAAAAAATAAAAAATTCAATTGGACGGTCCCCGTTGCCGAACCTCAAGACAGATCATCCAAACTTGTGGCAATTTATATGCCATAAATTGAACCCAAAACACTGTGGATGCTCTTAAACACATTTAAAATTATAAAATATTTTACTGCTTATGTTATAGATATATTTTAAAATTTAATAATTGTTGTATTTGTTATTAGTTTTTTCATATTTGATATATCTATTAAACCATATGTTGACGAGCTTTGATTTGATATCCATATATAAATAATTATATTTATCTTTATAGAAGAAAATTAAATTATTCATTAATATTATTTATTTTTTTGCCGGAACGATAGTGATATTAAAGAGCAGCCACCAGCTGATTACAGACAGCCAACAGCTGAATACAAGCAGCCAATAGCTGAAAAAGAGGGAGGACAGGTCAAAAGACCTCCTAGAATCGACCCGAACGGAGTAATACTCAAGAACACTACAAAACACTAAAAAACAACACAAAGACCCCAACACAAATAAATAAATTTATCTGTAAAATTGATATTTTATATGCACTATATAAATATTATAGCGCACAACGCTTAAGTTGTACAAATAATGAATGTCATTTTAAATATAAATAATAATTCAGTTTATTTGAATAGTATTTAAAATTTAAAACAACTATGTTTTTTAAATTTAAGTATAAACTTCTGTATAATACCATCCATGTGTTGTAATAGTTATGTATTAAACTAAGGGTGTGATTAATTATGAATTGAATTTGGTTTTGATATTTTTGTTAATCATATTTAATTTTAAAAAATTTGATATGGTTAGTTGTTAGTGAGATTTTAATTTTATATTAAAGTAATATTTAAAATAAAATAATTAAAGTTGATTTGATGTAAAAGTATGAGAGAAATAATGTGAAGTGACAATTAGTTAAAATTATGTGAATTGATGAATAGTGAATTAAAGTTGATGTGATATGTAAGAATGATTGATATTGTTTCAATATATTGATAATATTGAAAAAAGTGGAGTTGTGTTAAAGTTTAGTTACAAAAAGTAATTGAGTTAAAAATATTTTTTTTGTTAAATCCATATCCAATCACACTTATAGCTTATTTGGTTATCTTATAACCTTTCTGTATTCAAATAAACTTGATTTAGTAAGATGATTTTTTTTTCTTTAAAAATGTCGATTTTATCTCACATGCTTATCCAGGTAGTTTTTCAAATATGCCCGTTAAAATTTTTATTTTAGTATTTTTACCAAACACTTTTACTAATATCAGCTATTTTTTCAACCATTATCCATAAGCTATAAGATATAAACTCGAAATTTACTTATGAGGTAGGTTTACTAAAATATAAAAATTATGGATAAAAAGGGTGTGATTGATATGGATTTGATTGGTTTTTCTGGTTAACCATAGTTAATTTTAGAAAAAGTGGTATATTTAGTTGTTAGTAGAAATTTAAGTTTAAATTAAAATAATATTTAAATTAAAATACTTAAAGTTGATTTGATGTAAAAGTAGGAGACAAATTATTGGAAGTGATAGTTAGTTAAAATTATGTGAGTGGATGAATAGTAAATTAAAATTTATGTGATATATAAGAATGATTGGTTGATATTATTTAATTATATTGACAATATTGAAGATTGTATTGAATTAAAGTTGAATTAAATTTAAGTTTTAATTAATTTTTTATTGGTGAAATTTATATCCAATCACACAATGGATAAAAAGAAGTTTAGAATTGAACTTAGGAAAAAGTCTCTCCAATTTTTTTTTTTTTAATTTAATATTTATTATATGATATGGTTTGGGAAAGTAAAATTTCAGGGAGTATAAAGGGGCTTACGAAAGTTCTGCTCTTCTACATTTGCAATTTTGTCATTTCACTACGATTACGGCTCCTTGATTGTAAATCTGTACTACATGATGTTGGGGTTTGAGGACAGTGGGAAGCTTCTGCGACTCCTCAATGGAGGAGACGAGAAGGCGTTCGACGAAATCTTGGCGGATTTCAAATCTAATTTTGCAGGCACACTCCAATTCTATGCCTGCGCCGCTTTAGACATTCTCACTTCGAACCCTAAGGTTAGGATTTTTCATTTCTCAGTTTTCGGCGGCTATAGCTGAGCTCTTTGATTGTCTGATCGTGCACCATGGTGATTTTACGGAGTTGGATCAGTTTTTGAAGCTATTTGATGAATGGACTTGAGAAGTTTTAATTAGTGCGTTGAAGTTCTGTGATCTGTTAGCGAATCATGTAAATGGGTGTGGGGTTGAATTTGAGTACTGCTATTGCTTTTGCACCTCAATTTTGCAATTTTAACCCGTTCATGTGGCCATTCATGCTGTATTTACATTTGAATGATATGTTTCAGATTTGAATTTTTGGTGTTTGTTAAACTAATTTATCTTTTTGGTTATGTTTCTTGTTCCCATGCTGATAGAATCAATTGTAATTTAAGATGTGCTTCTAAATATCATGTTGCTGCAGGATAAACTTCTAACTTCAGCTCAGCGGTTGGTTGCTTTTGCAATCATTTATCAGGCATACGCTTCACAGGAACCTTCATCAAATCCTTTCATTTCTAAGCTTGTTGATGTAAGTTTACTGTGTCAAGTTGCGTAATCTTTCAGGATATAGTTTAATGGATTATAGCACTTCATTCTCATTTCCTTTATTCCATTAAGATTTTTCCTTTATTACTTACCAGTTGTTAGTTCATAAACTGTGACTTCTGTTAATTAGTATTGCCGAGATTTATTTCTAGTGAGTAGTTATACCATTGATTGGCTGTTTTATCAATTTGCAGGCAGCATGTGATGATGACGCCGAGAAATATGAAAAAGCATTTGTTCTTCAATTGTTGGGGTCATCCAGCAGTAACGGTGGCAAAGAGGTTTCATTCATTGTTTCATTTGTTATTGTCTTTAACCTCTGCCATCTCAAATATTTTGTTCTAAGCAAGTTACTGAAATTATATAGTTGATATATTATCCCACTCTGATTCTATTTGTTTTGTTTTGTGTTGCTTGTGCTCTATTTTAACTCACAAAAACATTCTTGCAACATCCCAAATAGTTATGAATATATATTAATTTGATACTGTCGTGGCTTACTTAGGAACAGAGTCAAATTGAAGAGTATGGATATGATTGGTAATTTAACCTGATAACTTGGAAATGTACTCATATTCAAACATAAGAGGAAAAGGTGTGTTCCAGCAGTCTGCAAACTTGTAATTCATAGCCCATTTGTTGTATCTTATGCATGGATTGCTGGATACTATGTTCTTTTTATTGAATAAAAAACATCATTTGGCCTCCAGGTGAAGTCTTTTAAAGTCAAGGCCAATACTCGGGCTACTTCTTCTATTCCTGCTTATCATGGTTTATATTAAGCCTCGGAAAGTCTTCCTTTGTCTTGTGATATAGAAGTCAACAACATTTGATATTGCAGTAATTATCCCATGGCCACCTCTATTTTCTACAACTGATGGCAACTTCTTTCGTGCAGCTTCTCAAACAATCTGCAACAGATTATATTAAAAGCTTTGACCTTTCAGTACATGTAAGTTACACTCGCCTTTTTCGTTTTCTTATCCATGCTCATAGTATTGCTAATAAGTAACCAGTAGATTTTTCTCTGTCACCTTGAGAATTTTTTTTTTTTTTAATGTAGATGATATTTTCTGCCTCTTTTCAACTTTTCAGTCCTTTCCGTCAAGGGATCATTTGCAGCAACAATATTGTGGCAAAAATCTGTCGGAACCATTGAAATCTTTTTTCAAGGACAGAACTGTAAAAGATGTATTTCCCGATCCTGATGTGCCCCGCGGATGCAATAGTGATTCGGCCGAGTATGTCTTTTGCTACTGCATCCATGTGATGTTACTGTGAAAGTGCTTGTTCTGTGGGTCCATTATTTATCTGTTATTAACTTTTCATGTGATAACACATTCCAGGTTTGATGCACCACCTGGGATTACACCTAAAATTGGATCTGGGAATAGGGATGAAACTATTTCTGGATTATTGTCTTCTTGTTCTTTGGAGGGACTAGGTCCACAGTGGATTCGGCCTTCTCCTCCTAGGTTCCCAGTAATGGAAGGAGAGGTAAAATTATCGAGCACTAGAATTATTAGTTGATATAGTCCTTACAGATCATGGGAAGTATTATTTTCGCCGGTTCTTTCTTTTTGATAAATTTTACGTATACTTTTTGACACTAGTTTGGTTTTATAAATAGCTATTGTGGCTGAATCCTGATATGAACCACGAGCTCTTATGGGACTATGGCATGTGTGCTGATACTAGTAGAGGAGCAGCAGTTAGAGATTTAATCGCAAAAGCTTTGAAGGGTCCACTTGTTCCTGTGCAACAAGAGGTGACCTTTTCTTGATGGTCTCTAAATGTTACAGAAGATTTTGGCATGCTCTTCTAGAGTATTTAATCTACTTAGTTCTTTAAGGAAATGATTTTAATTGGGCCTCATGCTTAAAAAGTTTTATCAAACAATCATGTTTTGATTTGAATGGGGATCATGTAATCTTAGTAAAAAGCATTCCATACCATAAATGATGAGATATGAACAAATAAAGAACTTTTTATGCTTGTTTTCTGTGAAAAGCATTAGGTGTTATAAATAGTTCTTTATGAACAAGTTTTATTATTGCATAATATATGTAGCTTTTGATTTATATTTATATTTTCTGCTAAACATTGCTGTGGCTGTCCCTTACTATCACTATTGCATTTAGCTAGAAGGTTCTGTGGGCTGTCAATGATACCTATAAGCCATTATGTTGACACTTCTCTGGGATAAGTGGAAAGAATTTTTATGTACTTTTGGTACTTGAATTATATAGGTAGGTATGCTTTTAGTTGTGCATAATTACAACTAGTTGAATTGGACAGCGGTTAATCTTCGATGAGGTTGTACTTTTAACGATTTCAACAGTGAATAAGTCTTCAGGTGATTTGATACTGTTGTTTTGTTTAACGAAGTATGAAACTCGTCCTTTTATTATTGAGATAATGTGGGTGACATTTATTTTTATGCAGCAAGTCTTGGTTGAGTTGGCGAATGACCCAAAGCTTGTATATCATTGTGGACTGACGCCTAAAAAACTTCCAGTATGTGGTTTTTCTTTATATATTCCCCTGAGATTAAAAAACCTTATCTTTATACACACATGCATACAATCACAAATATATATTTATATATTCTGATCGGGGACCATTCGCAGGATCTCGTGGAGAACAATCCTATGATTGCTGTTGAAGTTCTCATTAAATTAGTGAATTCACCTGAAATATCAGAGTAATCTTGTTCATTTACTTTTGGTTTTATTGACACTTTCGAGTACTCCCTCTGTTTCACTGTATCTGCCACATTTTCCGAAAAAAATGTAGTTCACTTCGTCTGTCACTTTTGGAAAACCAAGGCATTTGTATTACTCCAAATTCTTGTGTGAAGCAGCCTAACCATTAGGCGGGTTGACCTGTCAAACTCTGAGCAAAAATGCATACTTATACTATCAAATTTCATACTTTGTCATACTTCTGTTTATGATGTTTTTTAAAGTATGACATTTTTTGATGAAAGTATGCATATTTGTGAAAAGGAATATGCCGGCCTAACACAAGACCTTCCGTTAAATTACATATTATCTTGAATGAAATGTGTGTAGTAATTGTCAGTCAATTTATTTTTTGTTTTTCTAATGGCAATAATTAGTAGCCTATCATTTGATTGGAGAGCTATTTATTGACGTTTGGAAATGACTGAAAGCCGAGAGAGTATCACTTTGCGTGTCGTTTTTTATTTGCCATTTGTTTTGACCACTACATTTTATTTTATTCTTTTTTGCCAATTTCTAAAAAATTTCTGAAAATTTCAGATATTTTACGGTACTTGTAAATATGGAGATGAGCCTTCACTCGATGGAAGTGGTGAACAGGTTGACTACCACAATTGAACTTCCCACCGAATTCTTACACACTTACATATCAAACTGTATAAGTGCTTGTCAAGGCATCAAGGTTCCCTATTCTGTTACATTTTCTCTCTCT